CAAACAAAGCCAACAGGCTGGCTCCCCCACAAGGGAGAAGGCAGAAGGCCCCCCTCTGCTCCCAGGGTTGGAAAGTGGGCATTCTCATCACTGGGGCCTCGCCTGGCTCCATGAAGCCCCTCCTGGCGCTGCAGTGAACCCTGTATCAACGGTCATGGTCACGGGTCTCCTCTTACAGGAAAGAGAACTCTGATCTCTTTACCTTTCAGACACTCTGTCCCGCTCAGCGACAGCCTCACTAGGATCCAGCACGCAGCCCAAGACCAGGCACAAGCTCCCTGAGACAGCTCTTCAAGGCCCCCGAACAGCAATATTAGTAACAATAACGGTACGCACGGCAAAGGCTGAGAGGACTCAATGAGATAAGGGATGCGGAACAACCAGTTCCCCGTGCACAGACGGATACTTAACACTTTCACAGTCCATCTGGCTGAAAAACCCCTTTGCAGAATTCGCATCTGCCCTCAGCGCCCTTCATCTCAGCCCAGGAAAGGCTGCGGGAAGCTGCGGCTGCCTCGTCCCCAGTAAGACCGCCCTGATCTCCCCGAGGGGCCCAGGAAAAAGTGATGCCAGAGGGGACACACCTACGGAAGGGAGGACAGGCAGACTGCCTCTTCTGAAGACTTCCGCGTCAGCTGCAAATGACAGGGTCCCAGGCGCTGTGATCAAGTTGATTCTATCGGGGCTGCATCCCACCCCCAGATTGGCGGGAGGATGGGGAGGGAAGAAAAAAGGAGACAAGAAAGGCCCAACCCTGGGCTGCTGGGCCCCATCCTGCTAGGCCTGGTGCCCTAGGCAGCAGAGGCCTGACTGGGTGGTGAGTTCTGTGCGCTCACCCCACCCTGGGGCCAGCAAAGGAACTGCAGCCTCTTTGGAACCCTGTAAATGAGCTGCAGCTTCTGGATGAACCCCGGCTTTAGTTTCTTGGGGGACAGAGGCCCTTTAGCAGCAGAAATTCCTGACCCTCTGAGCCAACATCAGGCCGGCATCGCCACTGGAGATCCTCTCCTACGGCGCATGCCTCCCCAGATCCTTTCACAATGTGACTATTCTATCTCGTTAAAGATGAGCCATCACTGTGGCCACGAGGGCAGGAAGAAGCTGAGGAGGATGTCCTGAGCCAGGAGGAGTTGTCAATAGAGGAAGGACGGGTGGGACTCCTCACCAAGGTCCCAGGCAGATGGATAAACTGAAAAGAGAGCGAGGAAAGAGCTTAAAACAATTAAAAGGCTGTTCATGGGGAAGAGTCCAGATAAATCATTTCACTGTAAGGCTTCCCAAAATAACAACATTAGTAATAATAACGGTATGCACGGCAAAGCCTGAGAGGACTCCTCGAGATAAGGGATGTGTGAAACAACGAGCTCCCCGCGCACAGAGCAGATAGTAAATGCCACCTGCCAGTGTTATTAGAAGCCTGGGGGGCCTCCAAGGGCAGGAGGGAGCGGGCCGAGTCCCCAGACTCCTCTACAGAGCGGCGTGGTCAGTGCTCCAGGAAGCACACTCCGGAAAAGATCGAGGGGTGGCCACGAGTTTTCCGATTCCTTGTCAAGGGCTGAGAAACAGGACGAAGGCCAGGATGAGAGCCATTAGCCACCAGGCTTCGCACTCCCCGGGGGGCTGTCCCTGCGGAAGGGGCAGGTGTCTGCGGCCCAGAAGAGCTGATTCAACCTCGAGGCTTTCCCTCCCTCCAGCGGGGTGACCCTGGGCAGCTTACCAGGCCTCTCTGCGTCTGGTGTCCTCGCCTGTAAACTGATGGGATGGGGCCACCAACCGGAGAGTTCCCGGCTCCCGGATTCTATGTTTATGGGCATTTCTGCAAAAATGGGGAAGGGAAGAGAAAAGGGAATAACATCTAAGCCCTGGTGTCTTCTGACCATGAGTCCTGATGCTAGACTTGTTTGGGGCGGTTTCCGGAGAGAGTCTAGGGCTGCTCACTCTCTTAGCCAGTGTGTTCCCCGGGGACCAAGGATGCTAACAGAGAAAAATGGTGAAGTGTCCAGCCAGACTCCTACCTGCCAGGGGCGGGGGAGAGAGAAGCGAAGGAAGGTCCCACATTAACCCCTTCTGCCTCTGAAGAGACCATCAAATCCACTAGGCCTAATGGCCAAATTTTTTTTAAAAATGTCAAATGACCATATTCCATATTTTCCAAACTAAACACCAGGACCCACGATGTCAGAAAGGACTCTGCATGCCACCAGCTTCTAGACCTAGTCTCGGAGACAGCACATGGGAGCTGACCTCTTCATGTTGGTAAAATGCAGCCGCTAGGTGCCAGACTAAACACCAGGACCCACGATGTCAGAAAGGATTCTGCATGCCACCGGCTTCTAGACCTAGTCTCGGAGACAGCACGTGGGAGCTGACCCCTCCGTGTTGGTAAAATGAAGATGGTTTGTGAATGAGCACAGGAGTGTCCCAGGAAGGCCAGGGGACGTGTCCGTGATGCCAGGGACCTTCTCGTCCTCCGCACAGCTGTCACTCTGCCCACTGCAATGGCCAACGCCATCCCTGGCATTCCCCAGGAGACGACGTGCCAGCAAGCCACACTGGCTGCTGGAATTGGTGCTCGCAGTCCCAACCCGGTAAACCCACGCCTGGCTCTCCGGGTTCCTCCAGGCGTCATGACCAGGCTCACTTCTAGAAAACTGGTGGCGGCGTAACCTCCCCCCATCTACCCGATTACCCACTGACCCGCTGGGACTGGGCACTGCCTCGGCGCTCCTCGGCTGTGAACTCCTCACCCAGAGCGACCTGGGGGCAGCGTCTCCCACGCTCCGGGCTGAGCACCAGCCTGGCCCTTTGTCCTGCTCCTGTTCTTAATTTCCTGCCGTCTATTGCCTCTCTGATAACCGCTGGAAGAGGGAAGGGTGTTATTTAATTGCTTCGAAGATAGCGAACAAGCCAGTGCGGAGGTTATCTGCTCCGCAACCCCTCCATTTTTCTGGCTCAAGGTTTGGTTACTTAGTTACTAGCTGAGCGGAAGGGAAGGAGAGGCCGTGGCCGTGTTGGTGTGACCGCGCAGACTTCATTCAGCAGGTGGAGGGCAAGTCAAAAGAAGAGCCATTCAGAGTCGAGTGGGAACTGGACCGAGGGTGGCTGCTGAGTGCAGGGGGCGGCAGTCGGACCTTCTAAGGCATTCGGGGGGAGGGGAGGCCTATATTATCTGTACAAAATCAACAGTTGTTCTCACTACCCCCTTTCTGCTGTCAAGGTCAAGGCTGTTCAGACCCCATTCGCCCAGCCCTGCAGCAGGGATGGGTGAGTGGGAGGTGGCTCGGGCCAGCACTTTTTCCAGGATGGCTCACTCACCCTGACTCCTGGGGGCGGGGGACGGGGGTAAAGGGACGACATCGCAGAGAAAGGCTTCGAAGGGGGCTTCACGGTATGGGTTCATCCAGGGTAAAGGGCTTTGTTGGTCACTGAGAAGACGTGACCACCCGGTGACCTGAGAGCTGGACCCAGAGGTCAGAGCCTCCTCCCCGCTCTCTTGTCCTCGGAATGTATGTTCCACACACTGTTCCCACACTCGCAGCCGCTTCAAGGACTCAGCCTTGAGAGAGCATATCCTTCCCCCCTCACCCTGGATGGTCTACATAACAGAGCCCCGTGAAGGACTCTATATAAGGTTTTAAGATGCCCACCGGTAGGGGTAGAGATCTACTCGTCTTATGGCCGCCCAGCACAAGCTTCCTGTGAAGGCTCCCCTGCTCATGAGAACTGCCACCGCCAATCAGAGCGGTCTGCTCTTCCTTCAGTCTCTCCTTGTCCTTCAAGTATGGTGGGCGGGGGTTGGGGGAGGGGTTTCCAATTTCACCCGGGGACTCCTGAGGTTGCAAACCAACACCTCAGAGAGGAAGCCCATGACAATCCCTGATTTCCACCCTCACATGGGGACCCCAGGATGCAGTCTGGCCCAGCGGACTGCTCCCTTCCCCAGAGGTCCCTTCCCCCAGTCTCTCGCCCATCTGTAGGGCTCACCCTACCTGCTGAAAAGCCTGGGACTGGGACTTTTCACTGGCGAGTTGGAAATCAGGGAATAGGATGGGCAGGCAAAGGCCGCTCAGCCCACGGAGAAAACCAGCTGGTGTTTGCTTTCTCTACAAGTGTCCTCAGGAGCGTGTGTGTGTGTGTGTGTGTGTGTGTGTGTGTGTCCGTGGAGGACGGTGGGAACGGAGAGGCTGCGGGATTGATTATGACTTATTAAACTATTGGAACAGAGGCTGAATCATCACAGTCAAAAAAATAAACAGCTGCAACTGGATGCGCCATAACTCCCACTTCTTGCTGGTTTCCCTTTGCTCCCTCCCAGCGGGAAGGAGCAGGGGCCTTGCTGGCTGGGACCAGCAAGGTGCCTGCTGAGGGGACTCCGTGCAGCCACCGCCTCCAGGCTGTGTGAAGCCTGAAGCCGGGACAGTCTGTGTGAAGGCGGGACAGTCCCGATGAGCCTGAGCCTCCGCCTGCAACTTGGGAGCCCGAGTGCCTCGCACACGGCCTGTTGCGGGGAGAAGAGCTTCCCCCTGGACCCATCGCCTCGCTGCCCTTCCCGGGCCTGGCGCCCAGGGCCCAGGCATGGCCCACAGTAGACACAGCTCTGCAAACTCGTCCGACTGAGAGGTGCCCAGAGCTGCCTGGAACACGCTGGGTGACACAGCACAGATTCTGTGAAATCGGAGGGTAGGCAGTGCGTGTCCCGAGCCTTGGGGAGGCAGACTGAAGTCGCTTGACCTTCCCCTCTCACCTGCATGAAGCCCCCCCTGCCCCCCCTCCCCAGTCCGTGCCCCACGCCTATGAGCTGTGCCTGCCGCCACCGCCACCGGCAGGATCCTCCACTCGGCTCACCCCCGTCCTCCCACAGGACCCGACGGGCGGAGCGAAGCTGCCATGACGTCAGGAGGGGGGCGTGGGGAAATGTGCCGAGGGGCTCGGGCTCCGCAGGGCCAGTCCCGGCGACACAGCCACCAGCGCCCAGAGCGGATCGGCTGGCGGATCAGCACTCCCGCTCTGCGCCCGCCAGCTCTCCGCGGAGCGAGGCGTAACGAGGCGGGAGCTGGAGCCTGCAGGTGGGGCCGCCCAGCGCGGGGTGCCGGCCGAGCTGGGGACAGCCGCTAGTTGCCAGCAAGCCGAGCTGGCGGATTGCAGGATTGCAGTGGGAAAGCAAAGGTGAGGTGTTTTCCTGTGTGTGTGTGTGTGTGTGTGTGTGTGTGTGTGAGAGAGAGAGAGAGAGAGAGAGAGAGAGAGAGAGAGAGAGAGAAAGAGAGAGAGAGAGAGAGCGAGACACACACACGCTAGCACTGGGGCCAGCAGGGCGCATCTGCGCTGCACGGGAGTGCGCACCTGGATGGGCTGGAGTGCGGGTCCAGCGCGTAGCTCCCGGTCCTGGTGTCACTTGGGGGCGGTTTGGGTGGGAATGCGCCACCGCGAGCGTCCCTGGCCTGAGTGCGGGACTGTGGACCGTGAGTGCTGGGACCGACGTGGCTGCACAGCGCGTGCCGTGAGTGTGGCGTGCGCCCTTGTCCAGTCTCCGTCCCCCAGCCGAGCGCCAAGCGTCCAGGTGGTGGGTGCGACGGGGACAACTTCCCTACCGGCCGCCTTTAAAAGGGTCGGAAGGGAGGAGGGCAAGCTAGCGGCGGGGGTGGGGGCACTGCCGGGGCTCCTGTGGGCGTGCACCCGAGATCTGAGCCCGTGAGGACAGCTGGCAGAGCAAAGAGGGGCTTCTCTCCGTGGCTCCTCTCCTGGCCGACGCGTCCCTGATGGTCCTGGGCCCCTTCCCTGGCGCTCAGGCCGACAGGGCAGCCTTCTCTGCCGCCTCTTCGCAGACAGACCCTGGGGGCTCTAGCATGACCATCCTTGGTCTCCCCCGTCCCTCCCTCCTTGTCCCCCTGGAAACAGCAGGGGGTCCTTTAGGAAACCCGTGGGTCTGAGGGTCAGCGCGGGGAGGGGGGACGGAGGGATGGCCAGGCGGATGATTTTCTGAGCGCCGGAACCAACCGAGCTGTCCCTAGACGCGCCTCTCCCCCAGCCCTTCGGCCAGCGCCGCCTGCTCTTCCTGGGCGCCCTAGCGGGGCAGGGCAGCACGCACTTGGCACTTGGTGATAGTCTCTCCTCCTGTGAGGCTCAGGCCCCAGCCGACCGGGGATCCACTGGGTTTAACAGGCCCGAGGGAACTGGGGTGGGGCTGAATGAAGACACGATATTGGTGAGAAAGGAAAAACTGAAGCACAGTAGAATTGGGGGTCTGTCTCTCTCTCTCGCTCTCTCTCTCTCTCTCTCTCTCTCTCACACACACACACACACACACACACACACACACACACACACACACACGCTGGTCTCCATCCCCATCCCACTGGCCAGTTTCTAGGCTGGTAACCACAGCCCCCCTGGGAAGGGGAGGAGAGGCCCGAGACCAATCTAACCTCCTCCCCAGCAGAGCCAGGACTCGTGTCAGAGGAAACCAACAGCCAGCCATTTCCAGTGCCTCACGACTCAGGCTGGAGACATCCAAAAGCACAAAATCAAACTTCCTGTGCATTTCAGTGAAGCACAACGCCCGGCACGGCCTGCCTGGCCCTGGGCTCCACCTTCAGTGACGCAGACGTCACTCGGAGGCCGCAGGCAGTGACTTTACTGTCGATGAAGTGAGAGTCACTGTGATTTAAACCCATGTCTTCTTTGAAGGAGCCCTCCCCCTCCGGGCTGGCTCCCCAGCTCCCCATCTCTGCCACCTCTCCAAGCTCTGAACCCTGCCCATTGCTCTCTCTCACAGGTGGAGAAAGGCTACTTCTCAGCCTATTTCAGAAAAAACAAAAACAAAAAACTTCCCCCATACTGAGTGAGACTCCACCCAAAAGGCAGCCAGGGCTGGAGAGCAGCACCCCCTCCCTCGCATGTCTGCACCATCAGCACCCCTGTCCCAAAGCACCAGGCAGTCTGCAGCCCAGAGGTCTTCAGTGTGACCCAGACATCGGAGTGTGACCTGGCACGTGACACAGACGGGACCCTGGAAATGCTAGTGATTAATTACGCTCCAATGCCGGCCGCGTACACAGGTGTCTGGGCCTTCAATCCTCTGTTCCTATCTCAATTCAGGTCTCACCCTGTATGAGTTGGCTTCTTTCCCTGTCTCACCTCCTAGAGCAGGGGTGGGCAAACTTTTTGACTCGAGGGCCACAATGGGTTCTTAAACTGGACTGGAGGGCCGGAACAAAAGCATGGATGGAGTGTTTGTGTGAACTAATATAAATTCAAAGTAAACATCATTACATAAAAGGGTACGGTCTTTTTTTTTTTTAGTTTTATTCATTTCAAACGGGTCAGATCCGGCCCGTGGGCCGTAGTTTGCCCACGGCTGTCCTAGAGGCACCAGCCATGTCTTGTTCAACCCTGGTGTCCAGAATAAAGAAGCCCTCAGTGATGGTTTTTGAATGACTGCGGGTAGATCGTTTAATTATGTGATGAGCTATTGTTTTATACCTTAGGCCAAGCCAATGGTTACATTTTCTCAGCTAGGAGAGGGAAAAGAGGAGTAAAAGTGCAGACAAGCATTCTGGAACATTCCATGGAGGGGCTTTAGAAAAGAGTTCTCCTAGGCATACGGAGCTCAAGTATCGGGTATTGGAGAAACAAAAATAAACTAAAGCATACATTTTTAAAATAAAAGCAAGCCAGATATTTACTTTAACACTTAAGACTATACATTGGTTCATGATGGAGGCAGATTTCAATATATTAGAAATAAATGAGATGGTAGAGGGAAAATGGGGGGAAAGATAACAGTTATAGAGCTCTGATTATAAGCCCAGCACAATGCTAGGCGTTTTCACATACATTTAACCTTCATGGCACCCCCATTTTAACAAATGAGAGTTCGAGCAGTTAAGTACAGGGCAGGGGTCACAAGGGCTCCGTGGTGGAACCCTGGTTTGTTTTACCTCCAAAGTCTGGGATTTTTCCACACTGGGTTTTCAGAATGGAAAAACTCCAAATAAGTCGGCAGGTCCGTGTAGATTTCCTCGTAGGAAAAGGCCAAGAACGCCAGTGTCTGACCTCTCTGCCTTCTCCCACTTTGGACTTTTCTTAGGGATCAAAGTACATTTTTTTGCAGCCACAGCCATCCCCCACATGTGCGTCACCAAAGATGACAAGATAAACTATGATGGCTTAACCCGAACTCTTCGTCACTATTGGAAAAACTCAAACATTCTGCACACCGATGAGACTGCGCTGGTCGCTCTGCGTTGATGTGGAAAGATCATGCGCCGTTCAGCTGAAGGGTGTGTCTGTGAGGGTAACCCAGAACTTGGGAAGCTGGTGAGAGTTTATGTGGCCTCTGACTGATGAGCCAATCTTCCTTTTTCCCCTGCAGATGTCACAGTGGACCCTTTGCCTCCAGGACCCATTAAGGTGAGAACAAGATCTCTGGCTGGTTGGGACGGGCCTAAGACTGCAAGGCAGCCATGGATATGGCCTATGACCTACTCAACGGCAGCCAACCACTGCTTTCCTCTCAATTCGACCTCAACGGCTCAGTGGCAGCAGCCAACAGCTCGAACCAGACAGAGCCGTACTATGACCTGACCAGCAATGCAGTCCTCACGTTCATCTATTTCGTGGTCTGCATCGTTGGCTTGTGTGGCAACACGCTGGTCATTTACGTCATCCTCCGCTATGCCAAGATGAAGACCATCACCAACATTTACATCCTCAACCTGGCCATCGCGGATGAGCTCTTCATGCTGGGTCTGCCCTTCCTGGCCATGCAGGTGGCTCTGGTCCACTGGCCCTTCGGCAAGGCCATCTGCCGGGTGGTCATGACTGTGGATGGCATCAATCAGTTCACCAGCATCTTCTGCTTGACGGTCATGAGCATCGACCGGTACCTGGCTGTCGTCCACCCCATCAAGTCAGCCAAGTGGAGGAGACCCCGGACGGCCAAGATGATCAATGTGGCCGTCTGGGGACTCTCTTTGCTGGTCATCTTGCCCATCATGATCTATGCGGGGCTTCGGAGCAACCAGTGGGGAAAGAGCAGCTGCACCATCAACTGGCCGGGTGAATCTGGGGCGTGGTACACGGGGTTCATTATCTACGCCTTCATCCTGGGGTTCCTGGTGCCCCTCACCATCATTTGTCTTTGCTACCTGTTCATCATCATCAAGGTGAAGTCCTCGGGAATCCGCGTGGGCTCCTCCAAGAGGAAAAAGTCGGAGAAGAAGGTCACCCGGATGGTGTCCATCGTGGTGGCCGTCTTCATTTTCTGCTGGCTCCCTTTCTACATATTTAATGTCTCCTCCGTCTCCGTGGCCATCAATCCCACGCCGGCCCTCAAAGGCATGTTTGATTTCGTTGTGATCCTCACCTATGCCAACAGCTGTGCCAATCCCATCCTGTACGCCTTCCTGTCTGACAACTTCAAGAAGAGCTTCCAGAACGTCCTCTGCTTGGTCAAGGTGAGCGGCACAGACGATGGGGAACGGAGTGACAGTAAGCAGGACAAATCCCGACTGAATGAGACCACGGAGACCCAGAGAACCCTCCTCAATGGAGACCTCCAGACCAGTATCTGAACCGCCAGAAAAATAAATGTATGGCCAAGCTCTGCCCACTGGCGCTGGGCTCCCCCTCCCACTTCCTTTCTGCCACCCATCACACCTGGCTTCTAGAATAGGGAATTGTTCAGCATGAGTCCAATTCAGAGAACAGTGCTTGAGTCAGCTTGTCTGAATGAATGATTTGTATTTAATTGATTGACTCCCTCTTAAAGGGAACATTCCAATGCAAACAGACAATTCAAAGTCTAGAAAAGATACGAGCAGGCCTTTGAAACGTGGAAGCTCAACAAAGACAGAAAACTGTATCTGTGTGTTTGTGTGTTTGAGACCCAAAATGTAATCTTGTGTTCTCACATTTATACCTGTATATTCCCATCTGGTTCCTGTACAATCGTGACCTGTATTTCCTGTGTTCATATACGCGAGTAGCAAATCCACACGTGTACAGTACAGATGGACACTTACTACAACCTGGAACCCGCAGCCATGGACTATCTATGAAGCCAATAAAGTTTAAGCGTCAGGGATCTCGCTGGCTTGGGTGGTATGTTCACATGACCGTATGTTTTTATTAAAAGTTATAAAGGAAGATATTTTTGTATTCTTGTTCTTAAATGGCTCCTTAAGCCTCCAGCCTCACAAAACTTGCCCTGCCCGTGGGCAATTGCTTCATTCATTTCCTATGTATTAGATCCAAGTAAGAAGGGAAAGGGAGAAGGTATCTGAGGACCCAAAACATAAATTCATATGTTTCTTCCTCTTAGATATAATCAAAGAATTATTCATTGACCCAAAAGGACTTCAATGATTATGGTCATCAGGTACTGCATTTATAGACAAGGCCTGCTTTGTTATAAGATTGCATTTTTTACTTGTCAAATCGCTTACATTTTTTCTTTTTTAAAAAATATGCTTTTATTGCTTTTTAGAGAGAGAGGAAGGAAAGGGATAGAGAGACAGAAACATGGATAAGAGAGGAACATCATCAATCGGCTGCCTCCTGCACACCCCCTTCTGGTGATCAAGCTGCAATCCAGGCATGTGCCCTGACAGGGAATCGAACCCGCGACCTCTTGGTTCCTGGGTCAATGCTCAACCACTGAGCCGCATTGGCTGGTGCTGATGTTTTTCTTAGGGAGCCAAGGAAAAGGAGGGGTGGGGAACACTAACATGAAAGGCAGCAAATAGACTATAATTCTTATGGGGAAACGATTTTAGTCTCTCCACCATGAAAACAAACGAATAAGAATGAAACAAGACCACATCTTTATGAGAAACCAAGAAATTGTGGGGTTTGTTTGTTGCTGTTTTTATGCCGGACGTGGCTTCCTAATAAAAGAAAATGGAAATGCAATTCACCATCTCCTCCAAGGAGTTTTTTAAGGAACGCGATACGGAGCTGGGCACAGGAAATCCCAGTGCCGGCGAAAGGCCTGAGGACAGTTTCCCAGACAGGAACCCAGGCACCAGCCAACGAACAGGCAGCATTGCAGGTGCGAGGGCTGGAGGGAGCCCATCCTCACAGGTATGGCCATGCCCCCTCCTCACCCACCACCCCCACAAAAAGCATCTGGCCTTCACTGTCACAGACTCAGCTAGTCCTCAAAGCACTGCATAGGCACTTCGCACCATCAGTGGCTTTTTTGGGGGGTGGGGAGGGGAGGTTGAAATTGTCGCTGGGCTCATGTACCAGTGACAAGAAATGAAACAATGCCCACTTCATGGACTGGTCCCAATTGCCAGGGTGTGAAGAAACATACAGTTGGGTGTTTGTCACGACTCCTTCGTCTCGGGGCTTCTATGAACCCCTCCCTCGGGGAGCCGCACGCCCAGATGGCACCCCAGGTAAAAAGGAGCCGTCCTCTCCCCACCAGGGCTGCTTGACTGTAAGGGTGACAGAGAACCCCTCTGTGGCCACAGCTGCTCACGCGCTGCCTCCGTTCCAGCTTCCACATTACTCACACCACCTCCTTCCCAGAAGTACTCGCTGTGGCCTGGAAAAACATGTTCACTAAGACTTATGAGAGATAAATCCATGTAAAAATAAAAAGAGATCATTATGAGATGAGACTACAGGGGGAACTTGTTACATAAATTTCATGCAGTAAAATCCCACACCGTTGCTGAAGGAAAGCCAGCGACAAGTTCAGCTCAGGATCCCCAGTCCGAAGCCTGTTCCAGGGCGGGGGCGGGAAGGGCTGCGCTGCTTAAAGATCGAGTTGCCCTGTCCTTCGAGAAAAGCCTGTTGGGTGAGCATCAGGCCCACTTAGAAGAAATCTGCAATGGCTTCCCACCCTGGCCACTCCCGTTACTCGATGCCTGGGGCCTCCAGTGGCCTAAGCAGTGAGAAGGTCTCTTTGCAGTGACGGTCCCTGGACAGAGAAAGGGGGCGCACTATGGAACCCCAAGTAAGACTGGGTCAGCCCTGGAACAGAAGGAGACACAGGTGTCCCAGGTCCTGACAAAGAAGAGATTACAAAGTGGCCAGTAGGGGGGCCCTGAGGGGAAACTGCCCGTCTCAAAGGGGGAAGACCTGCGCTCAGCTCCACAGGACTCCTTGTGACATCACCAGGTACCGCCTCGGAGCAGCAGGCCACTCCTGGGCCATGCCCCCTGCCTGGCAGGTGGTGGCCGGACCTGGGAGGGCTCCTGTCCCCAGGCGAGGGCATATGGTCAGTACTGAGTGAGCTGGCATTTTTTCTCATGGGTATGATTTTCTAACAAGAAACCCAAATGGTTCTTGTAGGACATGACACAGGCTTAGTTGCTTTTTTAACATTAATCAGCATCCCATTCAGGAGAACGGGCCGGATGTCTGAATCTCTCAAGTTATCCTTCATCTGCACCACAGCTGGTGCCCTCAAACACACGCACACATGATGCAAGGCACACGTGTGAGGCAACAGAACCCATGTTTGATTTCAGAGAAGGGAGAGTGAAAAAGAGAGAGAGAGAGAGAGAAACATCAATGATGAGAGAGCATCATTGATTGGCTGCCTCTTGCACGCCCCACACCGGGGATGGAGCCCGAAACCCGGGCATGTGCCCCAACCGGGAATGGAGCCGTGACCTCCTGGTTCATGGGTCGATGCTCAACCACTGAGCCTTGCTAGCTGGATTCGATCTATCTTTCAAAACAGGTTCTCTCATATCTACAGTTAACATTGGCAATGTAAAACAATGCCTTCTCTTTGTGAGAGGTCCACAGTGAAAAGGGACACTTGGTTTTCGTAAAGTCTGGATGGGAACCGATGGTGAAGGACACGGCAGGCCGGCAGAGGCCCGGGGTCCTGCGGGAGTGACCCAGAGCCAAGCCTCCCTCTCTCCCTCCCCCCTGCGGGTCCCTGCGCGGCTCGGGGAGAGGCTCCCAGCTGGAACAGGCCGCTCAGGAAGCCTGGCTCCTGGGGCTGCAGGAGGAAATCAGCCACCAGCCACACAGAGAGGCGCCCCAGCAGCTGCCCAGCTCGCCTGCTCCTGGTGAACCAAGTGCTAGTGGACAAGTCACTCCCAGAGCCGTTCAGAAGCCTCTTCCCCAGGAAAAGGCTCCAGCGAGTGTCCAGGGGCCTGAGACCCGGCCCGGCTGGGAAGGTCAGATGCGCGTGTGCACGGGTGTCTTTTGGAACCCTGTTTAGAGACAGTTTAATGTGCACAGTGCATTTTTGCTAAAGAACACTCACTCGTGATTTCATAGCCTCCCCATCACTCTCCGGCTGTCAGTCACCGATAAACAAAAGCAGGTTTTTACAAACAGTACATCAATCATTATCCAAGGAGACTGAAAACTCCCTTCTCTCTCCCATGGCATTTCACCCGCGCCCCCCACGCCCACCCCTGTCCCTTTCTGAAGGTGGTGGGGGTCATGGCATGGGCGCCTTCGGGCGCTCGGCCCCCCGCCTCTGAAGGCTTGGCGGAGTCGTCTTTCTCCTCCCGTGCCCCGTGGACACCAGGAAGCCTGGGACATCCAGTAAACGCCGTCAGCAGCCCCAGCTGCAAAAACAGTGTCAATTACGTGACGTGATGGATGGCTTTAATATGTCAGGAATAGGTGTGCACATAACTCGATGTTCCTGTTGTTCTCACGGTACTTGTTAACACGGCATTCCTGCATGTCCCGCGCTTAGGAAACAATCGCTAAAACTGCTTTTGCTTTCAAATAAGCTGCAACTGACTTTGAGTCTGTTTGCTTCTCTGTCAGCCATTGTACCTTTGCTGTTCTAATTGACTGTATATACTTGGAAGCAAAAAGCAAACATTTCTTTTCAGTGACTTTTTCCTTTTGCAAATGTCCTGTTTTATAAACCACCTTCGCATGAAACCCTACACTGAACGGGAGGGACTCAGACCAAGGCCTGCTCCTTAGGCCCGCTACGCGAACTCACCTGTGAAAAGACCCCTCATGTTCGGGAAAATGGGAGAGTCTGAGGTGACATAACCCACACTTTCCAGGTTTCCTAAAACACTGGCCTGGAAACTTAAGAATTTTACAATTTGTTTTAAAATCTAAGCCCTACGAAATGTCTTCTAGATGTCTCAGCAATCACTGGTTTGGTAGCAAAAATAATAACAATAAGCTTGCTCCTCTCTCGGGTCCTCATTTCCAAGATGACCAAGAAGAGAAGGAATAACGGTCGTGCCAAAAAAGGCCGAGGCCACGTGCAGCCTATTCGTTGCACCAACTGCGCCGGGTGCGTGCCCAAGGACAAGGCCGTTAAGAAGTTTGTCATTTGAAACATAGTGGAGGCCGCAGCCGTTCGGGACATCTCCGAAGCGAGTGTCTTCGACGCCGATGTGCTTCCCAGGCTGAATGTGAAGCTGCATTGCTGTGTGAGCTGTGCCATTCACAGAAAGGGAGTCAGGAATCGTTCTCGTGAAGCCCGGGAGGACCGAACACCCCCACCCCGAGTTAGACCTGCGGGTGCTGCCCCACGACCTCCACCAAAGCCCATGGAAGGAGCTGAGTCTTTAAAGAGTGAAGAAAAGTTCTCTGGGGGGGAAATAAATGGAAATTGTATTTCAATAATAATAATAATAAGCTTAAGAACTGACAACCACTGGTGAGTTCCATTTTGTCCACAGACCGATTTTTAAAAATTTATCTCTTTATTAAAAATATTTTTGTATTGAGTTCAGAGAAGGGACAGGGCGAGAAAGATAGAAACATCTATGATATGAGAGTCATTGATCGGCTGCCTCCTGCACACCCCCTACTGGGGACTGAGCCCGCACATGCCCTGACCTGGAATCAAACCTTGACCTTCTCGTTCATATGTCAACACTCAACCATGAGCCAAACCGGCTAGGGTTGCAGCCCAATTTTTAACGGCCCTGTCTGATTTCTTCCCACTTTTGTAACCTTGATCAAATAGCACGCCTAAGTCACTGTAAAGCAGACAACGAAACAGGTGCTCTGAAAATGCCACAGAGAGCTGCCAGGTCTGGCTGACAGCAAAACCGGTCAGAGAAAAATGTCAAGAGTTTTGAAATTAGGTCAAAGAAAACAGCTATTTTTTAAAATCATCTTCTCATTTTCCTTTCACTCAAAATCAAAACATAACAGAAATGTCCAACTGCTTAAAATGGAGTCTTAACCACAAACTCGACTGCTAAAATCCAAAAAGAGAATTAGCACACTGTTTGAGTGCTCAGGGTGTACCAAGCTGCCGGAAGCACTTTATATGTGCATCCTCT